ATTTTAATACGACCGTAATTTTGCTGTTAAAGATTAGCTGGCGCTGACGTCATAGGTCACACGTGTGGGCATGGGATGTCTTCTTCTTGAAGTACAAGTGCCCAATTATTATTAAAAGAATGTCTGACATTTTTAAGTTTTATCAACAGCGCAATGAAGAAAAAGTTAAAATCATGCATAAAAATTTCTTGCAGTATAAAGGCCTGTTTACACGGTCCAAGCTCTTGAATCCGAGAAATTGGAGAGAATCTTTGTCCAAGAAATTGGATGATTCGTCGACACTATCCAAGTTCTTGAATGTCGCTGATTCGTTGAAAGAAAAACTTGCGCATGCGCATTGTTCAGATTCAACATTATAAAATAATACTAGCACAAGTTTAAAATTACTAATTAAATTCAAATAAAATCATAATAACACAAATAAACCGCAACAGATCAGTTTATTTGGACTAAAATATATGAAAACAGACAACAAAATGACATAATTTGCTGCCTGCTTGTTGACGTCACGTCACAAAACCTAAGACGCTGATTGGTTAAGGGAGAAAAAACTTGGATGGAAAATAGAACATGCTCTATTATCCTCCAAGAAGTTGGATCAAGTTCTTGGATGATTGTTTACACGATCCAAGCTCAAAGCAAAACAAGTTTCCATCAATATCAATCAATCTCTGTCCAAGAAATTGGATCGTCTAAACTGGCCTTAAGACTCTGTTATGCCAATAACAGAAAAACACTAACCATTATTTTTTATTTAAATTAGAAAATGTTTCTTAAAAAAATATGGTAAATTACTTTTACAAAATTACTCAAACAAAATTTCAGAAAAGAATTATGCATGAATTACAGCGTTTTTTAAAAAAAGAGAAAAAAAAGAAAGGGAGGGGGGAAGGAAAACAGCTTAAAATTTTGCTGTGTCTACTATTAAAATATAGTCAAAACTACAACACTCAGCTTTTTTATTAACGTTGAAATTTTTGATTCTAAGTTGACATTTTCATATAGTCGGTGACTATCAGACAATCGATTCTAAAGCACTTACTTTTCGTAATTATTCTATGTTACATCTACCCAATTTGAGTTTTTTTATTTTTTAAATCATTGCCTCTTGCTGACCCGCCTTATAAAGATACCTGCTATTAAATGCTTTGCTGCCTTCGGCAACGGATCTCTGAGTTTTTCGCTGTCATATGCCAAAAATTGTCTAGTAAATGTATCTGCTGATAGTGATTGATTATAAAAGCTACATATAAATCTTCATGACAAAAAGGGTGTATCTTAGTCGAGATTAGCCAATGGGATATGTGCAAGTGACGTCGAATGGCTATCTCAATCCTGATTCTTGATTGGTTGTTGAAAGGTGGCATTTGCTTAAGTTTGCTTACGTTAACTGTATAGTGCGACTTTGAAGAGAACTGCTCCAGACTAAAAGTCTGGGGCTGTCTGCTATTATGGTAACAAGCGAGAGCACATTTCTAATGGGGGTGAAATTGAGGAAAGAAGGTGTCGATTGATTAAGACAAAACTATTCACCCCACACTAATATTCGAAGTGTCCTTTCCTTGAGTACTATGGTTAATAGCACCCGCCAAAACGAGAGGCGAGTGTCTGGAGGAGTTCTCCTGAAAGCCGTACTATACTTTTCATTTTATTTCGAGTAACTCGTGCCCATCAAGAATCTATTCTCTTTAGTGACACGTTCTATTTTCTTTCACAAAGATTTCAATTCTTTCACTGAATATTTCTTACTACAAAGACAGGAGCGAAGCCATGTAGAACATAAAAAAAACTAGATATGCATCGAAGTTGCCAGGTATGCAAAAAAAAAATATATATATCACTGTTACAATGAAATAGAATACATAAACAATTAATGCATCTAAGTTGAGTAAAAAACGTAGAGAAATAATTATATTTTAACAAATTCGATGTGCGATACGGCGTTGTATTTAATTAACTCCACATTATTAACATTCTAACTTTAGTGGAGAAACTTAGCTCGACTTTAACACGTCTTCTTTACAAACGATCCTAGTTTTAAATTCGACTTATTGCATGACTTGGATTATTTGCCAATTTTGGAAAAGTTAAGTTTTTTTTTTTCTTGTTGATAATTGAAATGCATGTGGAAAAGTTAAGGATCCAAAAATCCTAAAACAATACCCAAATAATTATAAATGAACCAAAAATACAGATTAAGAAGAGAATGTTTTTCTTATTTATGATATTTGACTATTAAAAAAAATGATTAAAAAAATTATGATTAAAAAAAAATTTAAAGATATAATTTTTACTTAATTTTTCGAAATTCAAAATAAAATATTCTAAAAAAAATTATGAAAACCGATATTCTATAAGTAGATCTTTTGGTTTGTTCCTTCTTCCTACAGTTTCTTTCTTTTTCTTATTATTCCTTCTTTTTTATGCATCTATATATCATGTTATAGACAAGAGCTTTACATTTTAAATTTAACTGAAATTTTAAAAAAAAAATTTTTTTAAAGTTTGCCAATATTGTGGTTATTTTTTAAACAAATTAAAATCAAAATAGCTAATAATAAGAGATTATAGATTAAAAAGATGCTAATATCCAACAGAAGCGTGTAAATATTGTCTTCGGCATCACGTATTTTGGTTTAACTCGAAGCTAAGTTGACTAATATTAAACGTTAACAAAGAAGAAGAAAAAAGCGAGGAAAGTTTTTTTACCTAGTATAGAATAAAATACTTAATAATAAAATACAAATTATTGTCGTATAATAATTACTATGCTTCTTACATTTTAATATATAATTTGAACATATTTCAGGTAATATAATGTATTATATAAATATGTATAATAAAGAGTTGTCGTTTTTTTTTCTTCGAAAGAAACCTATTTCGGAACACTGATAGAGAATGGAAAAAATCGGAAGAAACTGGACAAGATGAAAGAAATTGGAGGAAATGAAAGAAACTAAAAATACCAAATATAAAAACTAAAAATACCAAATATAATTATTTAGAAATAAGTGAATGGCTTAAATTAAAACAGATTAAAATTAATATTAAAAATAAAAATAGTTATGTTAAATTAATTATAAGAAATTCAACTTTTTCTCATTATTTATTTTAGTTTCATACAAAATTTTAAAATTTTTGAGCCTCCAATTACTTACTTATCTACACACGAAAAAAATAATTATAAAAAAAAAATTATAAAATAAAAAAATTATTCAATTTGAAAAAAATTTCAAGGCTCTTTTGAAGCAAACGATAAATTTTTTAAATGTTAAATACGGTTTTTAAGGTAAGCTTGCAATTCAGCATTTTAACTTGAATTTCATTCTTCTCGACAAATACTATCATGTTTAATACTTACTCATCATGAAAGCGAAAAGAATACCTTTATTTAAAAAAAAATTGTTTTTGCTGTGTAAGATATTTTAACAATCTCATTTAACAAATGTATATTTACAATAATACTTTGTAAAAATAAATTGTTGGTATGATTATTGTTTTATAAAATAAAATTTTCAAGCTGTTATTTGTTTGCTGTTAATGTAGTAAACGCAGTAATATGGAAGGAAGGCAATGCTAATCACAATGCTAAAAAAATCACAGATAAATTACAATAAATTATTTATTGTAGGATCGTCGATAAAGAATGCTGAGATTTTGAAATCTTGTTAAAAAATAATATTTTTACGTACGGAAATAATGCATAACAAATGGAAAGAATATAACTTTCCACACGTTAGAGTTACAGTGAAATAATTATGATGAAATTAACCATTTAAAAAATCAAATCGTATAGTTATCATCCGTAACTGCTGCGATGCTAATCATCTTGTTGTTTGTCAAGTTACTTACGGTAACTATATCGAAACGTAATAAAACGTGTAAGTAGGAAATTTTGTATTATTATTATTTTAAAATATTCTAATACCAAATTTATGTTTATGTGTTTATTTATTTTTATAATTTCTAAATTTTTTTAATAACCCTTTACTGATTCCGGTCTTATCCGTCTATAGCATTATAACACTTTTTTTTTNTTTTTTTTTTTTTTTTTTTTTTTTTTTTTTTTTTTTTTTTTTTTTGTGTGTGCTAGACAGATCGAAACACAATGTGGCTAACCTAAAGTGGTTTCATGGTTTTTCTTTTCCTCTAATGGTGATGTACATTTATTTTATTCAAAAAATCCTCTGATAAGGCAATTTCTTTCCGACATTCAATAGTCTACAATTTTATTTTATATGAAGTATTGGTAAATAGTGCATTAATATTTAGTTGTATGAACTAGGTAAATTCTATTATCAGGCATTGCTAATGTATAATATTTTATAGTTAAGACATTGAATGAAGAAAAAAAAAAAGAAATATTACAGGATCAATCATGTTACAACAAAAGTATTAAGCCGCCCTCTCGTTGTGTTGGGTTAAGTCATCGCCATCCATGATTTAGGCTGGAATTCGATTCATCGAGCTGAAGACTGGTACAAAAAATTGATTCTATTGGTATATAAATAGTGATCATGGGGCCTCTAACAGTGTAATACCCTCTCTATAATATCTCTAATTTGAATTCTTAGATATATATCATCGAAACTAATGATTTAAAATGATACGAATGATTCATAAAGATAGAATTTCGTTTTGTACATTGAACAGTCCATTTTAAGGGGATATTTCAGTATCGTGATCTGTTGCGCCAACTAGAATCGCCAAGGTGCCAAATATATTTTAAACTAGCAAATTAAAAAAAAAACAAAAAAAAAACATGTAGATATTTACCCGGGGGTGGCTGCGGGTTATACATTTCGAGTTGGTCCCTCTCTGTGATGATTTTTTTAGTTTCTCGCGAGCCAAAAGAACATCTAAGGCCTGCTTTTAAAAAAAACCCATCAAGTCCACAATTTTAACAACCAATGAGAAGCTAGAACTAACTCTGATGGAATTGCTTGCAAAATGTCAGTATGAATATCTCATTCAAATTTACCAACAGTAGAGTTCCTTCAAGTTCCTCAACTCGGCAGAACTCCTTTGAAATATTTGTTTACAATTTGTGGGTGTGCGCTGGTCGCCCCTAAATTAATTTTAATATTTCAGTAAGATGATTAATATTTACAATCGAAACTTTAGTCAGTTTTTTCATATTTTTTAAAGCTTCTTATATTTGTATTCATTTTGAACTACTTAATCATGATTTTACGTTTTTTCAAAAGTAAGTGACAAATATACGAATGAACTTCAGTATTGGTTATTTAAATTCCTTAAGGAACAATTCATTGTATTATATTTTGTCTATTTTTAATATTTTAACTTATTTCCAATTTGTTATATGCTATTTGTTGTCAGTATACGACTTTTTAAATGTAACATTACTCATAGATGTTTGTGTCTTAAGCCAATTTTGTGTTTTTGAGTATAATTATCGAATCTTGATTACATAGCGCTTTTACTAATTTTTAGGAATATTTCAGTATCGTGATGTGTGGCAAAATAATCGCCAAGTCTTGACAACTTTCGGGCAGCACCCCGCGAGAAACTAAAAAAAAAAAAAAACATCACAGAAAGAAACCATCTCGAAAGTATAACTCGTAGCCACTCCCGGAAAAACATCTACATATATTTTTCTTTTAAAAAAAATTTGCGAGCTTTAAATTTATTTGGCAATTGTAGTATCAAAATGCGTATTAAAAAATTGCAATTTAAGAAACCATGTTGAAATGGCAGAAAAATGGATAAATAAACCCCCGAAAAACAAGGTGGAATTAAGTATGTCAAAAAATTATTACTCAAATTTGAAATTCAAGTGTTGTAATAACATTGTATCAAAAATTTCTGAATTCGAATGAGCATAGAAAAATGCAGTAACAACGGAAAATGGCACTATCGGATAATTTTGAAGATTAACGGAGGAATTGTCATTAACGCAGAGTATCAAGAAGTGATAACTAAACACAAAACTTGCTTGTTGTAATAACTTTGTATCAAAAATAACAGAATTTGAAAAATTATGTGAAAAGTACAAAAATCCAGACCATCAGATGTTGCTAGTAAGCTTGCTTTGCTACTGTTTTTTTTTTAACAAGCAATTTGCTAGTCGATTAGTTACACTTTTCCGCCTGATTCCTTATGCATCTGCTCCTATTTATTTAAAACTATTTATAGCTATTTTATTATAAAATATTGAGCATTAGATATTTATCTGAATTAACTCAGGGTAAAAAAAAATATTCTATGTCGTATAACACTTATGTAAGCTCAATTGTACTCCCAATTTACCTCATTTTACAAAACGATTCATAATAAATAAAAATTTTCAACCAGATCTTAATTTTCTATGTTGATCTGTTCTCTTGATTTTCCTCTTATTGTCTTAACTGAAATTAATGTTTTTTTTCTTCTCTTTAATAATTATATCAGTGGCAAGTTCATCGGTAATTGAAAGTAATATGCCATAAGCTTGAATATAATCAGGATAGTTTGCAAACATTTAACTTATTAATGGATTCTAAAATTAAAATGTTTGTCTTAATCCCAATATATGTCTCTGAAAAAAATGAACTGAATATCTATATTTCTGTATGGATGATTTAAAAAGGGAAAATATGTGTTTTAAAGTACTCTCTAACTTAATTCCATGGACACACTTTCCCCATTTGACCCAACTGAATAGAAACTTTAGATAGATATTAGCTAAACTGATGATAAACTAATTTCACTCACTCATTAGTTGTTAGTAATCAAACCTATTTTAAAATTTGATTGGACGTGTTCTTATATTTTCAGCTATAAATTAAGAATTGAAGATTGAGTCATAATTAAGTTAGTTAACCAAGTTTTTAATTAATATATATAATATTATACTTGTTAATAACTTGTAAGAAATTATTTATTGAACAAGGAGTGTATATTTTATATATGTATATATATGTGAAAGTTTGTGCAGCATTAAATGAAATAATGATGATGATTTAATAATCAAACTTAACATTTAATAGAAATAAAAAGATAGAAGGATATAACAGTGATATGTCTGGTGAGAGCTGCCTTCTCTCAGTTTTGCCAAAATGCATGCGAATCAGGGTTGGCTTTTTGTCTGCAGAAATTGATAATTCATAGAGATGGTTCAATGGATAATTCATAGAAAAAGCAAATGTTAAACAAAGTGCAATTTATTTACAAAATTATCACCATTCAAAATCAAATATTACATTGTTTGCACTCTGCAGTAATCTATAACAAAAGACAAGTTTTGATGCAGTTTCTAAACCTAAACAATTTCTCAATTTGCTATGCACGAAGGAGAAATTTGAGAAGATTCTCTCAAGTCCAGCAGAACTAGCAGGCATTGCCATCAAGGAGCAATCAAGATTTGTGAAACTTTCATCTATTGCATATTTTTTAAAACTGGACCACCATGTAGCAGCTGGGGTAGTTGTCAAAACTAGACTGGAAAAATAAGTTTCAGGAATTGGGGCCGATTTGTTTTATATGAATATTTGATATACTGCACTCCATGTATTTAATTTAAACAAAATAATACATATTTACAAACAATGAATTAAAAAGTTTGTTGCAGTTACATGGAGTTACATTTTTCAGTTTACTTAAACAAAATGTCATTAAGCAATTACTAGAACTAATATAGAGGTCATTTACAAACAATGAATTAAAAAGTTTGTTGCAGTTACATGGAGTTACATTTTTCAGTTTACTTAAACAAAATGTCATTAAGCAATTACTAGAACTAATATAGAGGTCTTTAGTTTCTGCCGGCAAAAAGCCAACCCTGATGTCAATCTCAATACTTTTATGTCATTTGCTGAATTTTTGACAGTTTCTGCCACAAATGTGGCAGAAAAGGGTTTCTGCCATGCCGGTTTTAACTGGTTCCTACCAGTGGTTTTAACCGGTTCCTACCAGTGGTTTTAACCGGTTCCTACCAGTGGTTTTAACCACCTTGGCATAAACTTGCCAACCTTGATGTGAATAAGAAATTAGGTTGTTCTATCGAAGAGATTTAATAGTTAATTATAAATTCGGGACTTCCCCATCGGGACTCGCTGGCTCCTCTCAATGACAAAAAGGATGATGAAATCTCTTAAAGTATTATATGATGGAGAGTGATGTGATATGCCGAGATGTTACACTATGACGCTGAAACTATATATATATATGATGTTTGTTCTTAACTTCTTTCTAATGTGAAATAAAATTTAACAAATAGATCAAAAGTCATTGAAATAATTTCATGATTATCAATTAAACAATGGATATTTATTGTTGTAAATTTCAATTTATATAAACAATCTCTACTTTGTTTTCCTCATATATTATTATTTATTTAAAGAAGTCTTAAAATTCAAATAGTTACTTTTCTTTGCATAATTTTTGAATTTCAAAAAAAGTAATTGGTGAGTTAAAATTATTACATATTTATTAACCTTAAGCCTGCAATTTTATAAAAAATATTTGTATTTCAAAGTTTTGAGAGGAGTTAAAGATTAATATGAATAATACTAACTGTCTTAATATTTTTTTATAGGTGATATTATAGGACCTGGCTTGGTGTTGAGTAGCAATGTAAAACACATCCTCCATTGTCTGTTGTTTCTTACTCTATTATTGACCTTTGAGATTTTTGCTGGAGGTTTATGCTTCTGGTCTTGTGATACAGATTTTAAAGATCCATTTGAACAATATGGTTATTTTCCTGCCATTCTTTTATACTTACTAAGATTTTTGACTTTTCTTGCTTTACCTCAGTGTTTATTTAATTGTTTTGGTTTGTTGTTTTTCAATGCTTTTCCAGAAAAAGTACAGCTTAAAGGATCTCCTTTACTGGCACCTTTTATTTCCATCCGTGTTGTTACTCGAGGAGATTATCCTGATTTAGTTAAAAATAATGTAAATCGGAACATGAACACTTGCTTGGATATTGGGCTTGAGAATTTTTTGTTCGAAGTTGTCACAGATAAAGCTCTGAATTTGCCCAAACATCCGCGAATCCGGGAGATTGTTGTACCTTCTACTTACAGAACTAAATCGGGAGCCTTATTCAAAGCCAGAGCCTTACAATACTGCTTAGAGGATGATGTAAACATTTTAAATGATTCAGATTGGATTGTACATTTAGATGAAGAAACCATTCTCACCGAAAATTCTATAAAGGGCGTTATTAATTTCGTTCTTGATGGCAAATATCAATTTGGTCAGGGCATGATTACTTATGCCAATGAAAATGTTGTGAACTGGATGACAACTCTTGCTGACTGTTTCCGAGTTGCAGATGACATGGGGAAGCTGAGATTCCAATTCCAAATTTTCCACCGTCCACTGTTCAGTTGGAAAGGATCGTATGTTGTTACCCAAGCCGGTGCCGAGCGTAAAGTTTCTTTTGATCACGGCTTAGATGGATCTGTTGCAGAAGATTGTTTTTTCAGCATGATTGCTTATAAAGAAGGATATACCTTCAACTTCATCGAAGGAGAAATGTGGGAAAAGAGTCCCTTCACACTGTGGGATTTCTTACAACAACGAAAACGATGGCTTCAGGGAATCTTTTTAGTGGTTCACAGCCCCAAGATTCCATTTCGTAATAAAATTTTTCTTGCTTGCGCCCTTTACTCCTGGGCTACAATACCTCTCAGCACATCAAATATTGTGCTTGCTGGAATTTTCCCGATTCCTTGCTGGCAGATCATAAACTTTCTTTGCGCTTTTGTTGGAGCAATGAATATTTATATGTATATATTTGGAGTAATCAAATCTTTCAGCTTATACCGACTTGGACTTGTAAAGTTTATAATGTGTTTAGTTGGAGCCCTTTGCACAGTGCCTATTAATATACTGATTGAAAATGTTGCAGTAATCTGGGGATGTTTTGGCAAAAAGCATAAATTTTATGTTGTGAACAAAGATGTCAAATCTACTATAACTGTTTAAATACTTAATTTATTATCATGTTTGCTATGAATGATTAATCATGACATTTTCAACACCTAATTAGTACTGTAGAAATGAAATCTATGCATATTTGGTCATAACTGCTCAAAATTTGGTGTTTTAGCTGCCTCATCTATTTATATTATCATTTTGAAAAATATAATTATATTTGTACATTTAAAAGTTAATAAATGGTTCCTTTTTATGATGTTTAAAAACATTCTAGTATTATTTATTAATTTTTTTTTACTTTTGATTTTAGTAAGTGAAAGATAAATAATATAAAAGATGACAGTTTATTAAAATGTATAAATACTTAATACTAAAAATTATACATATATGATTTATTAACATTTATGTTGATAAAATTAAAACCACTCTTCGTTTTCAAAAATTAGCAGTGAAATAAAATTATTTGGAAATATACTTTGCTTTAATAATTTAGACAGTTTTATTTAAACAAATTTTTCTGCTTGCTTTATACTGCAATGTTGCTTCCTAGTTTAAAGTAGTTTTTATATCCAAAGTTAGTTATTATATTGTAGTACGTACATATATCTATTTATAAATAGGAAAACTGAGAGAATGTTTTTAACATTCTATGCACTTAAAGCTTTTTAGATCCGACAACTACATCTGATTTTGAAAGATATTTATTAAACTGGTTAATTCCTTACTAATATACTCAAATTATATTTGAAAAGATATCACTCACTGGCAAATTGCTGCTAACTTATTATTTTTCTCAATGTTTTGAAGTTTTGATGCATATAAATAACTTATAAAGATTATCTTACATTTATATATAAAACTAAAAAGGGAAATTTCAAGTTCATTCATGTTTACATGAGCCAGTATGTTATTCTAAAACATTTTTTTCGAATTTTGTTCATTTAACCTTTAACTTTCCATGTCTTTCTCGACAGTAAATATTTAATTTAAGAAATACTAGGAAATTATCAAATGCTTGACATTTTGCTAAGTGTTTAATGCTCTTTTATTTATTCTAAGATATAATGTACATTGAAAATATGTTCTTTTTCTTTGAAATAACATCATTTCATGACTGTACATTCACATACGTGTCACCAAAGTAATAAATTATCTATTATTTGTAATATCTAGTTTAAATATTAGTTTTACGTGATTCTAAATATGTAATCTTGTTAACACTCAACTGCAGCCACCGGGGGCATTATCATTTCACTTATTGACAGACATAGGAAGATTCAATTTGTACCCACCAAGTTCCGAAAATTATTTGTATTAGAACCTTTTTCTTTACTAAACTAACATTAAAAGTTTTTGCCAGAAACTACTAGTGTTTTTTGTATCACACTACTCACTACAATACTTGCTTAAAAAAATAGCACACTACACTACAAAATACGAAAAAAGTAACGACTATAGCAGTTCACTACTTTTGAATGTTAAAAATAATGATATAAATTACTCAATACTTTCCTTCCCTTCTCCTAATTGCATGTTTCTATTAAAATTTATTTTCTATATTTTATTAAATTTTTATATCCATTTCCTTTCATAAAGGAATATTGTTGCTGTGTTATTTAGTCTAATATCGATCAATATAATTATGTTCAACAGTTGATAATTTTCATTACATCCTTAAAATTATTCTGTTGAATTAATTGTCAATTTTTTATGAAAATTTAATATTCTAAACAAATACAGTGAAACCTGTGTAAGTAATGATAAGTTAATGGTTTTTGAATAAAATGAGATCGTCTGTTTATATTTTATTACTGTTAAAATTATTTCGTCTGTTATAATTATATTAATTTGTATTTTTCACTCGCTGCTTTTTGTAAATCAATATCTCTAAAAATTGGTTTTTATTTTTAAAGTTTAAAGATATGAATTTTAATTTACCTAGAAACCTAGCATATGTTTTTTTTTTTTTTTTTTTTTTTANTTACCTAGAAACCTAGCATATGTTTTTTTTTTTTTTTTTTAGTTTATAAATTTTAGTTTGGAGAATTTTTTTAGCTTTTCCCTCTAAACCATAAATACCTTAAATTATTTATGTTTAAAAAAATAAATAAATAAATTCAGATGTAATGCAGTTAAAAATATCTTGTAGTTTCATTATACTTTCCATAACCTATTGAGAATTATGTTAAGTTTTGGATGATGATTCAAAACTTAACATAATGATGTGTCATGTAAGGATAATTGACCAATTTAGATTTTACTGTAATATTTTTATGAACATTGAAATGGATTTCTAAATCTGTAATCTTTTACAATAGTGAAACATGTTGATTATTTCTGTATGTTAATCTTAATGATCAATGTCAAACTAGTATAAGCAATTATACCCTCCTTTACTAGTGGACCATCAAATTGTCATTCCAAAAGTTGTCAACTTAAACAAGTTTCGCTGTAACTTGTTATTTCTATATTCTTTTCTATTATTTTAATGTGGAATGCATAGATGTAAGCTTTTACTGATAAAAAATTTAGAAAACACCATAAAATTCATAAAACAGTGTTCTCTAAAATAAAATTCAAAGAGTACTAAATCATGTAAATTATAATTAAACTTCCATGTAAGATTTGTGTAAAAGTAATATTAATAGTATACAATAAGAAAAACTTGTGCTTGAACATTAACCACAAAAATTAAGATTGCTATTGTTATCTTTACATATTTAAAGGTTGTTATGTTTTGCCCAAATATGTTAAATATTTGCTTTTATTATAATCATATTAATGTTACAATATTAAATGGAGAGAAAAAGTATAATGAATGTGCAAAACCACCATAACAGTCATGTGCGATTTTCTACTACATAATGTAATGTACAAATAAAGGATTTGATCAAAACAAATAAGTTAAAATGTTTAATTTATGGTTTTGTAAACTTCATTTAATATAATATTTGAAACTACACTGTTTTTTATTTATCCTGTTGCTTTATGCAAAATTTATTTTAGTGCATACATTATATTCATTTTCTTCTACTATTTTAAATTTTATTTTTAAAAAAAATAAAACTTTTCTTTAAACTTTTCATTTTTGCTTTTAAGTATCACAAAATTTGTGGATTATTCTAATTGACTTTTTGGTTTGATGTGAACCTTTTTTTTTTCCTTCTTAATTAACCTGGTTTCTTTACATTTCTCTAACTATATTTTTCATTATAATATTTGTATTCGTCTGCTGACAAATCAGTATTTAAAAACAAACAAAAAAAGAAAGAAACTGGTTCATTTCGGATGATAAATGATGTAAAAAAATAGAGCTTTCTTTCTTCTTTTTTTAAAAAAAAAATTGTGGCTTTATATAATATTTTTGTTTATTTCTTGAAGGGGAAGAAAAGAATTGTACCAATTTGAAATAGATAAAGAGAGGAAAAAATGAAATTATTAAAGGATGGTATAGATTTAAAATTTTTAAAAAATCACGATTTTTATCAAGACAAAATAGTTTTTTTCCCTGCTTCAAAAATTCAGCTGTGAAAATTTTAAAATAACATGCTTGATTTCAAAACAGAAAACAGGTGGGAGATATTTTTTATGAGTTGAAAAATTATTCTAGATATTTATTTTAATTTACATGCATTAATAGTTGTTGACATATTCAATTGTTCATTCATTCAAAGTATTCTTTATTAGATTTTTTTTAATGGTAGGTAATACTGCAAATTATTTTTATTGGTTGTACTGAAGACATTTTATTTGCAAAGAGTCTTTCTAATTATTTTTTTTTCCATTATTGTTCTAGTCTTTTGTGATAACCTGATCAGTATTTTATCTTATACTTAAATTTCATTCAAATATTTTGCTAATTTCATTAAGTTTTATAACAAAACAAATTCTGTTTAAATTCTATTTTTTCTTTTAAATAGTCATTGAATTAACATGATGATTGTTTTATCACCACAATTGTATTTTCAGTTGTTCTAAAATACTGGCTGATGTGTTAAAAGGCTTATTTGTTATGATAGGCTGATGAGTTAAAATATTATTGAAAATGTTTTTATACTTTGCAGTTTTTGTAAATGCTTGTTTTACTTTCTATTTACTGCGGAAAGAATAAAAATAGTAGTTCATTAGTAGGTTTCATTTTCTTTAGATTTGAGTAAAAAAACAACACACCAGCACAAATCTAGAGTAAATTTGATTTTGATGATATATGTGAAAAATTTACTATGGTTCAGTATATTGCATGGTTTGGTCTCGTAGTATTTGTTTTTGCTGATAGAAGTTTGCAGTAGTTTAAGTGTCAGTTTCCTTTTCTCTATCTCTCGTTTCTTTCTTGAAAGTTTTAATAAATTAAAATGCTGTTTCCATACACCAACTACATATGAATAGTTTAACGTGTCTTAAAATTTATGGGCGATTTGAAAAATCAACTAAAAACGGAAGACTTAGAAATGTATAGCTAGATGTTCTGCTTACGAAGTAAGCTATTTTAACCGAGTTTCGAAATTATGCAAAAAAAATCGTCAACAGATGGAGCTACTGCTTTGAAATACTGTAAAACTACTTTGTGCTGCATGCCAGACCATTTTAATTGGAATATTTTCATGGATGCTTGTTAGTTTAATTGTCATACTGCCCCACATAATTGCTACAAATGGTGACTATTTTTAAAATGTTGTTTGATAGATTTTCTTAGTTATCAAGAGCCCTCTATTGACGAATTGCGCGACTCATTTGAAAATTTGATTAGAGAATATTCTTTGGTTTCCTTAGCAGAGTGCAGTAGTCTGCTTATTTCTTATCATATTTTTAAAAATCGTTTATAATTTTGTTGATACCTGGAAATTAGGGTTAATCGGAGATACAAAATGTACGATATCTATTAACCACTTATGCTTCTTTGGGATAGAAAACTTGACCAACCATTCACCAATTTCACATCTAATTTGGCAAAAAAAAAAAGTAACAACATATTAGGTAATTGATGAGGTTTGTGTCTGAATTAAAATTAAATAAAAACAGATTTTTATTTTTTAAAAAATGTGTTTATTAATCAATATCTATATTTTCTTGTTCTGCAACTGTGCCTTAGTGTATTGAGCATTTTTTAGTTGCTTTTACTATAGAAATCGTTCGGTTATTTTTTTTTTTTTCTTCAAAGAAAACCGTGAAAGTGTTTTTGATTTCTTCCTCTAAATTTTTTGACGTAAAGTGAAAAAATACCCCTCTTTGAACCAATTGTAGACGCTTTGCTTGTATTTTTACCGAAGATTGAGCCAGTTATTCACAATATTTCTGCAATTTCGCTGATACGCTAGACAACAAATTATGTTTTTTATACTATTCAGGCACAAATTTTCGTTATCGCATATTATAATTTTCTATCAAATGAGAGACACCTTTGTTATCTTATAGAGATCTGGGGTATTGAAAAATCGTCTGTCATATTGTGCTACAAAATGAACTACAGCCAAAACAAAACGCTTTCTGTGGGCCTAATACCCTCATAAAAAACGGATCCCACCTGAAGAGTTTATTTTTGTCTTGTAAATATGGGTCCGTAACGCAGAGGTTCAGCAATGAGTTCCTCCTATTAATTTCCCTTTCTTCTATGCAGTTGGAGAAAATTTGTTGTCACTAATGACACTTTATTTTATAACCGTCGATGAACAGCCGACCCAATTTTGGGTTTAATGTTCAACTCCGTAGCCTTGTAATTTTGAACTTGACAGATTTAACGTGCATCAGTCACCACTTACTACACGGGGAGTTTTCGGCCGGCGGGGATCGAACCCACGACCTCTTGGACACGGGCCCAGTGCCCTACCAACCAGGCTATCCCGGCCTCACACTACTAGTGACACTTGCCAAATCCAGCACCAGGGTACGATCTCTCTGTAATTGAGTACCCCCCCAGAGATGTTTTGTTTTATTTTATAACCGTCGTTGAACAGCCGAACCGATTTTGTATTTACAACTATCAATGTTCAACTCCGTATTCTCGTAATTTTGAGCCCTATCCAGAAGACAAGAGAACTCCGGGATCAAGTATTGAGGGAAATCTGCCTTCGTGGATAGTTTTCTGGCGTAACTAACCCGCATTTACGTTACATGAAAAGAAAAACCACGAAAACCTTCCACGGATAGTCTGACGGCAAGGGGACTTCTTTTTTTTTTCTTTTCTTCCAGACGTGAACACGTACCTAGGTTTGCAAAACCCTTAACCGTATAGTCCACGTCTGGCTACCAGTCTAGCTCGCATAATACATGGGTAAACAATTGCATAACAATTACAAAGTACAATTGCATAATACATAGATAATTTTTTCAATAAAATTTAGTATACAACATTGAAGAGTAAGGCGGCAAAGGGACTCTAACCCATGATCCGTCTACCACTGAGGATATTTTATGTCAGCTCTGTAATCGGTGCGGGCCGGGAACGGAATTCGTATTCACCAGCCATCGCTGGGATTCGAACCCGGTCCATTCATTGGAAGGCCAACGCTCTATCACCTGAGCTGCCACTATCCCCCCAGAAGTATTGATACATGTTATGGAGAACTTGAACTTTGTGACTCCAACAGATTGAAAGTGCACCGATTGCCATTTAATACTGCGGCCGGCTAGATTCGATCTCCCGTTCTCATGAACATGAGCCCAACGTCCTACCAACCAGGCTGTCCCAACCCTGGGGATATTTTTTCATGGCAACTTCGGTTTCACCTTCTTTAAAATTTCAGTGTTCAAGCAAACCTTGAAATTTTAGATGCTAGAAAGAAAAAAATCCATGAATGTTTTGAAAATGCAATCAATTTATTGCAGGATTACTTTCCCATTGCGTAATCCTGCAGTAACGCTGCTTGCAGTTTTTCTATAAAGAAATTCTTCATACATTCACTTTACCATTTTAATTTTTTATTAAATTCTTTATCTAATTTTCAAAATTCTAATTTCAATTCTAAAATCAAGTCTAATTTCTCGAGAAGAAATGATGCAACTTAATTCAGTTTCTGCAAAACAATTTCTTAATGAAAAGCGATAAAAAAATAAAGATTGAGTAAGAAGCTTATACTTTTCCATTAATTCGTCTGGTGAGAGAATGGAATTAAGCAGCTATGTGGAAATTTATGGTCCCAATAGTTAAGTCAGGAGAGAGGTCGAAAGTTTAAGCTCTTGATTGTTAATTTCACTTCTTTGCATATTTCGTCATAACACGGAAACTTTTTAAGTGAATCGAAAAATTTTTGCACGCAATTATAGAATTCGTTTATCAAAAGATGTAAAATGTAACTTAATTATTGTTAATTATTTTTATTACTTTATTTCATAGGGGTCGAAACCATTTAGAATTGTAAAGTATACGAAATTTTGCGCCATTTTAATCTATACAGTGTGAAATTACAGAATAAAAAAATTTAATGAAATCGGTCAAGTTTCTGAATTATAAAATTTCAAAAAGGCTGTATTTTTTAACTATTTCTCATGAACAAGTCGACCGATTTCGTTCAAATTTTGTAATTTGTCATTTAGAAGTAAACAATTTAAAATGAAGTAAAAATTTGCACACCTTACAATTCATAAATTGTTTGACTCTCAGTAAATAAATAATTATTTTAATATATATTTTTACTCGAAATTATTTTTGAATAAATGAATTTTATAATTGCGTTCAAAAAGTTTTCGATTCGTTAAAAAAAATCTCGAGTTGTGGTGAACTGTCCAAAATATGAAATTAACATTTAAGGGCTCAAACTTTCGTCTGCTGTCTAGACTAAACTATTAGTACAGTACCGTCGTGTTTTCGAGGTTGCGAATACCACCCTTGTTTTGATGGTCAAAAAACTACATCTATTGAAGAAAAAGAAGATATTTCAAGCACGTTGTAGTGCCTGATTCGGTTGTTTAATAGTTAGCACTAATTAATTATCATAATAATAGTCACCCCTTTGAACCATTAAGATTAGTTGCTAGTTCTAGAAAATCTTAGCATTAGAACCAAAGTTATTAAGAATGATATCTTATTTTATGCACTGTATAACATCATGTAATGCATAGAAATTAATAATCTATATTGAGTTAACTTTGTTCTCTTTATTAAATACTTAATCAAAAATGGATGAAAACTGACATTTGTATATTTTTGAGTTGCGAGTGATGTTATTCTAGACGGAGGGAGAAATACTTTTAAATATGATTTTCAAATGGTTAATGCTAATTAATTAGCAGGAGGATTTAATATTCGCTTGTAAGCGTAATACATTCATTTGTAGTTGAACAATATCTATAGAGATTCTTGTTTAAAAAAGAAACAAACGCAAATTTAGATTTAAAGGGCTTGGTTAGATTAAGACCCATTTAAGATGTTTTAAACATTTCGATTTTAAAATTATTTAAAACATGCCGGACGTCACTAACCTGTCGTATGATATTGAAAAACTATTTTTTAACGACCGAAGATTAAAACAGATGCTAAATTATATCGGTAACTAAAAGTATGAGGAAACTTATCAATTCATAAAAATAGTAACTATTTATTCAATATAAGACATCCGCCTTTTTTTTTTTTTTTTAACTTGGTAACCTTATTGAATAAAAATATAATTTATTCTAATCTAATAATTAAAATGAAACTGTTGTTATCATGTAAATATTTAAAAAGAATGAAAGGCCACAAGCTAAGCTCAAACAAAAAAAAAGAAGAAAAAATATTTGATTTATAACAAGGTATTTTTGCATACTAAATCAAAAGATTAAAAAATGTCGGACGACATCCAAGGAACCAGCCTAAAACGGACAGTGCGTAGAACTAGTTATCACGCCCCCCTGATCCAAAGCTTGTATTGGACACAAAGACACAAACAAACTGAAATCATCCTGTCCGGCCATGTTAACGTAGTACTCTTCAAGAAGTTTATGATAATTTTGATTTCCTTATTTTGCTTCATAATTGGATTTTACCATCGAAATTTTTCTTTTAAAATTTATTTTTCTGTTTTGAACATTTAATCAGAAACACTGGAACGCTAATTTATATTATGGAGCCTGTTTCAAAACGTCAAAAATTAATCGGAAAAAAAATTGTCAAGATTACTTCTTTAGCAACAGATAATCAATCAGGTAAATATCTTTTACTATAGTACATTTTGCATATTTCGTGATATAATAGTCTTGGTACCAATAACGTTTCCATATGGTTGCAGTAACTAAAAAATTTATGCCTATCGAAAAATGTTTTAGTTGTGGTGTTCAGATCAAAGGTAAAATGCCATTCGAAATATTCGATAACACGTATCGTCTACTTTTCAACTATTTTATTTCACAATAGATCGTATCATAAACGTTTATTCTCAAATAATATGATGTGCAACTTAATGCAGATTTACGAAGACAAAATTAAATTCGTATTTTGTTGAATATGAATGACGTAAAAGTTCAATAACATCAGTAAATTTAAAATGCTTCAACTTTATTTGTTTCAAACATTGCATTAACTTTATCAACATATTGATAATGATTGACTTAAATTTTCATTTTTGAATTACTGAAATGCTCTGCTTTTGAAGCCCCACGTTTGCTTCGCGTTCATTGTTTCTCCCTAAAATGTCGATATTTTTCACGAAAACAGATACATTGTTGTTAAATATAAATATTACGCAAAAAAAAATTTCGTTAATAATATATATATATATATTTATATAAAACGATGAACTTTTAATGCTGATTGAATAATTCAATTCATAGTTTATTTAAAAGACTAATTTCAGATAGAAAAACCACTAATCACAATAATGATATGTAATCTAAAAAATAAATTTAGATTCTAGTGCATCAGTATACTATAGTAAAATTCTTTTCGCATTAAAAATCTGTTACAGGAAAATATTTTTTTTAAATGATTACAAAAATTGAAGCATATTCAGTTATTTAAGCTATCTAAGGAAAAACAAAAAATAAAATTAATTTTCAAAAATATATTACTGAATTAATTGACATCTTGATTATTTGACATAAAATTAATATGCACCATAAGTAAATTTTGAATTTCATACACAATATTTTGAAATATATACGTTCAGTAATTCATTCTTTTCCTCTAAATTAATATTTAATTTCCAATTCCAAATGTTCTCACAGTTTTAACTTAAGAATTTTATAAATATTTCAGTGAAAATTCATTTTTAATAACAATAAAAGCTCATATATCATCATGTAAATCTTTATAGATTGACATTCGCAGGCTAGCGTTCAAGCATACAATTTTATGTTCGTTGCAGCACCACTAATTTGCATATAGTAGTTATTTTTAGCAATTCTTTTTCGACAACATATTCAAATTTTATTAAGATTGGCTTATTTTTGGGAGAGTTATAAATATTTTTGTATTTTTTCCTTAATTTATGATAATCACTGTAGTTTGTGAGATATCGTCAATAATCAATATAATTCTTTTTCACTGATATATTGGATTAACCACAATGAATTTTGTAAATCTGACTTCATATCTGTAATTAGCGATCCTCCAAAACTTTAAGAATTACAGAATATACAGCTTATCAAAGCTCGTCAAGTTTTGGCCAGCTTTCCTTCGATTCAGACTACTGTACGTCAGTGGACCCAATCCAGATACGTAACACTTACCCCTTTTCTGAATAACTAGAGCACTCTAATTTTAAATGGAATTCTGTGGGGAATGACAATACATATTTTAATTGCTGCCTGACTACTACAAACAATTTTTAAAGTCATTTTATTGGCAAATATAATTCATTATCAATTGAAATTTCGACCCTCATCAGACTAGCTAGAGTGATCGTATCTCAATTGAAACTGCGTGCCTGATAACAAAGCTTTAATGGTTTTTCGACAGTCATAAGAAGTTTTCTGCATGTAGAATTAACCGTCAATCAATATTTTGACCACGTTCCGATTAGTTAAGAATGCCCAGATTTCAACTTTAGTTCTGTTTCTGATGACAATACTGCAAATTACAATTAATTCTGGAGGAAGCAAGTGTTCTAAACAAAATTTAGACCCCTCTTTTTAGGGAAATTTTATTTAACATTTTCTGTAACACGAACGATTGAGACCATCTGAAATGTGATCATTTGCTGATTCATCCATTGGCACAGTATAAAGCACGAAATTCTTGCATTCAAATTATATGGTACTATGTTTGTATTAATCAGATTATCCACATACCTCGCTAGCATCAAACAAGCTGGCATTTGAAATAACTTTACATGAATCAATTACATTGAATGCACACACAGGATTCCTCATCCAACATTAAAAAGATTTTTTTCCCCGTTATGCTACTAACACAAATATTACTATCAGACAACTTATTATTATTATTTTTTTTTTTTAAATAACGCTGCTGGAAATATAGTTTCGCGTTTGATCCCTAAAATTTATCGCTTCGAATTAATTAATATTAGTTTATCCAAAATACTCTGAAATGCAGCAACATACGCCTATGAAAATAACAAAATGCCATATATCCATTCATTGTTACACTTTCTGATTTTTTCTTTAGTATGAAAGAAGGGCGAGGGCATTTTTGAAGAGAAGCTAATTAGTATTTCTCAAGCTCGGATGAAACTGGCACTTTTGTATTCAGAAATAAGAACTCGGTGACTGATTGACAAATTTGAGTTTCTCTACGAAAAGGTGGAAATTAGATTTGTTAAACCCAAAACTGTGAAGTGGGTACTTGAAACGATTGAACAATACTTATGAAATTTTTTTAAAAAATTATTATTTAAAACAGTAAAAAGTAAACAAATAAGAGAAAGAATATGGAATTTTGCAAATATGCCGAACGACCAGACAAAATTTACCGAAGAATGAAAATTTTTCGGAGGTCACCTCCCATCCCGGTGCCTTTGATAGTGGTAGTAAATTGACGTTGCAGGAGTTAGATTTTTAAAAATTCACCTTATTGTTAAGAGCTCTGATTAGGAAGAGATCGTCAGAAAAGTTACATCTCTATATATCCTGCCAACCCAAACCCGATTTCCAGGACTTTGCCTCGGACACTGGTCAGTTTAAATAAGTATGAAAAAGTAAGTACAAAATTCCTATTTCAGTTGTTAAATTTGAGTTGAAAATTAAAAATTTAATGTGTCAATTTTCTTCCGAATTAAATCCGAAATTCTCGTCTACAGGACGGGAATTTCGGAAACTTTTAGAATAAATATCTCCCCGGCGATGTGTCGTCGGTGATCCCCTCGTCTCAGTAAACTGTTCGTAAGACATTGTTCCAAGTAGAACACCGAAGTCAAGCATTACTGGTTACGGTCAGTGTGCGGGAAGGTGACCACTTTGATTTAGGCTACGCAGGGACTGAGGGTGTGCAATATCGGTCCTCGTTAATAACTGTTCTACAGCAAAAGATCTCGACTTCACGTGTAGATTGGCCTACCAAACAGAGAGCTATTCCCTTCACTAATTATCAAAATCGTGATGCATGTCTTCAGAACATTTCAGGGATGTTTCCAGCTGTAGTGCGACCCTGGTGCTCTTTGTGTAGCTCTAGTGCGACGTAAATAAACTACTACAACCCTTGTCAGATTAATCACTTACTTCTGAAAACTGTTTGAGTTTGATCCCATTTTGCAACCGATTCTTATTCATACAATCTAATTAAAAATACCCGATTAAATGGAAAATTAATACTCATATTCATTGAAAATTTCAGATTTCTTGCTGCGTCTTTCTCACGCCAGTCTGACTAAATCACGAGTTTTTTTAATATATTTTTTATCTGTTCAGAATATAACCATAACTGTGTTTATATGGAATGATCTGTTTCTTTTATTTTCTCAGGAAAATTGCAACTCAACCATTGCTATTGAAAATTTGTTTACGTGAGGTTTTGTTATTCTATTTTTTACAATTAAGTAGTTTATGCATTCTTAATTATCTTTATGATGAACAATAATTTGTAATTTATCAGAAAATGCCAAGTGTTAATTTCTGCTGAAAAACATGCCATCATAAATTTGTAAGGTTTGATATATTTGTTCGATTGAATTATCTTTGTTGTTTGGTGCTATTTTATTTTGGAAAATTATATTTCTTAATTTAGTAGAAAAAAAATTTGCTCATTTACCAAAACATATAACTACGTTATTGTCTGATTCACTTTTAAAATCAGGATTCATGTCTATCAATTAAAGTGAATTATTAACTCTAAATTATTTTTTTTTCTTAGATTGTAAATTAATTAAAAATGTATTGAAAGTCATATAATAATACATAATATACATATAAGTCATATAATATACATAAATATGAAAAAGAAAATTGTTAAATGCTTAGCACAGATATTTGGTTATTTTGTCATTTTAATTTTGAAAATTATAAGTTTATAGTTATCTTATTAATTAGAAATCACTTACCAAAATATAGAAATTCGTAATTGTTTTATTACTATTAATGTGCATTTAGGTACTTTTAAGATTCTATAATTTATTGAAGGGATATTTCCTTATCATTACCTGTTTGTACCAACCACAATGACTTAGAAAGTACCTCTGCTCTGCTCCAGTACTTGCAATACATTTGAACTAAATTATCATCATGCATTTTATCTTTTTACATAGTTAAAAAAACGTAATTTTTTGATATAGAAGGATTTAATTAGTTGTATTTTAAATCAATAATGGAATTGCTTGAGATGCTAGTTTGATAAGAACAGAACTGAAACACTATTTTTGTAAGAAAGACGTAAACCATGAAATCAAAATTTATATTAAAACCTTCTGTTCAATAGTTAATAAGGATATTCCTTTTTGTTTGTGAAATATTAGCTGTTTTGTTATTTCTAATAGCATTAGTGGTAAAAACAATTGTGAAAAAATAAGGAATAAAATATAGATTATTAAGTAACTTAATGTGAAGGAATTGTGCTTATTAAAAATGATAATTCATTCAAATGATTAATGATTGGTAAGAATTTTTTAAAAATGTGTTCAAAACTGTATAATTAGAACCAGTTAATAACATAAATGTTCCAATTCTCCTAAGATTTTTCAGTTGGTTGACTTTCTTAAAACCTATTATAAATGCTTTTTATGAAACTCTCTCTAGATACTTTATATTAGCTTCTTTTTTTCCTTCTTAAAAGCATCACTGGGAATGTGAAAAATTAAAGAACAGAATGCAGATTATTTAGTAATTAAATGTGTTGGCTAGTTTCTCTCACGTTAATATGTATATGGAAAAAAAAAACCCCATTTTGAACTAATTAAAAAAAATATTCAAATGGTAAGAATTTTTTTAAATATGTAAATCATGTGTTCTAAACTGTATAATTTCATTGTTCTATGTGTAGGTTAGATTTTAGTTTCAAACTTTTTCAAACGGAATAATTGAAAGTGCATACATTTACAAGCATTTTAAATTTAAATGTTGATGTTTCTAATTTACATGTTGTACTAACAGTATTCATCAATAAAACATTATTTTTTGCTCTTTTAGACTTTATTTCAAATTTTATAATTTTTAGATAATTAATTTTTAATGTAACATTTTGTTCTTACATTCTCTGTTTTCTTTATTCATTTATTTATTTATTTGGTCTAATCATTTTAATCTAAATGTTGAATCTGTTAACTAATATTATAACAAGCTTTTTTTTTTAAAATTTAATTTTAGTAAATACTAATCTTCACTCATCATGGGGAAAAATAATTAGTTTAAGGGTGAAAAAATAAAGAACAAAATAGATGACAATTACTAATTTTTTGATGTGTACCATAATATTTAATTATGCAATTGCCCTGTGACAGAATCACAGTGACAAGACAACATTGTTGCAAAATGTTACTGAGTTTTTACAGAAATGTTTTTCTTTTAAAAAGTAAAAAATGTTAGTTTTCTTCAGACATTTCCACGTAAAATATGATTCATACATTTAGATAATAACTTCTTGGCGCACCCAATTTATGCCGATAGTATCGTAAATCAATATAATGTGTTAATTGTATTTTTGGCAATTATTGATAGAAAACTCCTACAAACGAAATTTATTGGCTCACATAATTAATAGCAGCAAATAAGTGAGCATATGTTGTACTAAACATTTTAATTACAAGTTCAGCACGATACCATATGAATAGGTTAGAGACAAAAATGACATTCAATCTCACTTGAACAATATGAGTTTATTATACTTACATATTGTCTTGATTATATAATTTTAAATCTTGAATTACTTGAAGTTCTACTTATTTAAAAAAGTGGATCAATTTGTTGCCAGAGATGGCTAGTTATTAATAATTTAACACTACTATGCAATTCACCTCTTAACTAGTTTGGGAGTTCTCTTCGGTCCTCTATGACCTATCTACTCATAACAAGGTATACCTACATTGGGCACCTTGATATATGGGCATTTTTGGAAATGAGCTGGTTGATGAAGCAGAACGGGCTGGCTCTAGTGCGATTTTCTAGGACCCTGAACCAGCCTTGTGAATCTATCCCAAATCATCTATATTCAAGCTCTATGGCAAAATTGCCCACGTGCAATGGCACAACTTGTATGGTCAGAGAGAAGCTAAGGAGCTGAACCGTGACTGTCCTAGTGTACATCAAAAAGAGCTCTTTAAGCTAAACAGGAACAGTTTGAGGAAGATCATTGATCTTCTCACTGGACATGGCACCCTCAGGAGACACCTATACATAATGGATATTGAATCTGATTCTCTTTGTTGTGGTTGTCATCTTGAGGGGGAGACATCACAATGTATACTTTGATTGTGAGGTCTATTCTGCTCAAAGATTTGAGCATTTATGGCAACATTGCATTAAGGCATGGGAACTGCAAGACGTACCTGTCACGTGTTTGCTGAACTTCATTTCAGCTATAGAGCTTTTTTGTTAATCATGATTTTGGGGTTTGGGTACAATAGACCTCTTGTCAATGTGCCCTGCTCTTTGGAGCTGCCCAACCTCTAAGTCTAACGCTACTACACCATGGTAAAAACTTTAGTTCTTTATTCTAAAATCATTAATGAAATATTTCAAGTCTGTTTTAATCTTCATTAAATAAATGATGTGAATAATGACGTGCCTATTTTAAACTTTTATATTTAATATTAGCAAATAATATTTTTTAACCTATCTTCAGTATGCTTATTTGATCATTAAATTTTAACACTATACTTATTCTATGTGTCTATTATGTTATTGTAAGATTTTTGAACATTTTAAATAATCATGGTGTTTTTTAAAATAAATTAAAAACCTTTTAACCACCTTTATATAACATAACTTGTTCTTTATATAAAATATGTTTCTTTATACAAAAATATATAGCTCAAAGTTATTTTTACCTTTCTATTGTGTAGACCAATTTTTAGTGTTTATTCCTTATACAGAAAATAAAAAAAACTGAATTAAAAAAAGACTTTTATATTACTCTCTCCTTTTAACACTATATTTAGAAAAATGCAATATTGGTATTTTTTTTATAATGTGAAATTAAAAAATATTTTATTTTTTAACAAGTGTGCTTATTTAATTTAATATTTTAAGCATATTAAAAATTTTGTTGTATATCTTTAAGTATACTCACTATTTCTTTAAATACAAATGTGAAAATTTCAAACTGAAGTGTTAAAATAAGTTTTGATGAATCCTCATGCTGTTTATTTTTGCTGACTAACTGTGAGCATTATACATCATTATTATTAAATGATTTCTTTTAGTACTTATTAAAATATTAGTTTTTTTCTTCCAGCAGGTAGTATGTCGGAGAAAGATTTCAATAATCCATTTGCTGCTTTATTTCCTTGTGGTGAAGAAAGTGATGCTTTTAAAACAGGCGTAATTTCATCAGAACTTATTGACAGACCAAGTAAAAGTGGTGCATGTAGTTCACAAGAATCTACAAACAGTGAAATGCAGTCATCTGATACTGTTGTTCCTAAAACAGATGATGGTGATAAACATCTGGCTAGCCATTTTTATGAAGATGTATTTCGAATAACTCTTTCAAAGGGTATTGATTTCTGTTTCTCTCTTTACTACTGAAATTTATTCTATTTTAGAAGGAAAGGGGAAGAAATTAAAACATTAGTACTTACTTTAGCATACATAGTAAACTTTAGCTGCATTATCAATACAATAATAACTCTCTTCAAAAGAATAATATTTGTGGTCTATAATGATATTCTGCATTTCACTCAACTCTCTTAGAAATTTCAATACTCTGATCTTAATTTATTTTAAATTTCTCCCCAGATTTTTATTACTCCTGAATGGCTGTTTTTCTGTTAACAACAGGACTTGATCCATCAAAGACTTAAAACCACAAATAAGGCTTTTTCTTCTTGTGTATGGATCTTATTTAGCTTTCTTTGCGTCTACCACAAATCATATTTGCAATGTTAGAATTTCTGTCTCACTAAAAGAGCGCGGACATTCGTCTGGATCTGTGGCGGTGACTATGGTAACATGACTCTTTCAAATAGGGGTGTGGGGTTACTGTTTTGGAGTGGTTTAGGCTCTGGTCAGCAAGAAAAAGGGAATCTTTCTTCTGTCTATGGTGTTAGTCCCAGAGTAGAGCTACCCTTCCTAAAATGCACCATTCTTGTTTCCATAACACCAGACAACCTCAAACTTTGTGGCGGGAGGAGTTCTTAGCTTAAACAAACTGTCATATTTGTTTTGTTATACTATCTTTTTATTAAATTTGGTTGTTATTAAATTTTGGCCTTTTTACTTATTAAATCATTTTATATTGAATCACTTGAAAAAGCAACAAACAGTATTAGATAGGTAATTTATTACGTATCAGAATCTCTTGTCTAATTAACAAATGAGTTCTTTTTCTCAAGGTATTTTTGAAATAAATTTAAGTGTTTGCTTAAGTAATGATATTCTCCAATTTATATTTTTAAATTTATTTTTGGTTATTTTTATTTATGTATTTTATGCCTTTCAGAGCCTTGCTGCAGTAAAAATGGTCCTATTTCCCTTGTGTTCTTAAATGAAGTTCATCATGCTCTGCGTTACCAAGTGGAGTTAGATGAAAACTGCATTGATCGAGTAGGTTTTATTTAAATAACAAAATTTATATTTTGTTTACCTTAATATAGTTTATTTTACATAAACTCTTTTTTTTTTTTTTTATTGAATACAGCAAAAACTTTTTAATTCTATGTTCTAAATTATATTTATTGGTACATTTTAAGCAGTGAGGTAGAAACAATAATTTTTTTTTTTAGAAATATTTTTTCTTTCATAAATTTTTCAGATTTCTGTTTAATTTCCCTAGTTTAATTCTAACTCAAGATTGTAACTACTTTCTTAATTTTAAATTTTACTTTATAGGCAGTATTTGAACGTATGTTATTGGAAGATCCTGCCCAACACATTGTTCGTAGAAAGAATTTCCACGATGATGATAACATTGCTTCTGAAAAAAGAGTCATGTTCTATTTATATCAATCTTACCATCGACTAAAGTCAACTGATTTTAAGGTTTGTTCAGTTTATATTTTTATTTAACTTATGATATTTTTATTTAACTGTAATGGGTGGCGACAGAATAGAGAGAATTAGGAAAAGTAGGGGAATTTTATCAGTTTGGAAAAGTTCAGGGTATTGTCATGAGATTCAACTAAAAAGTCAGGGGAAATGAATTAATTTGAGTGTGAAGTGCCTAAAAATGCAATATTTTTCAAAGAAAAAATTGGTGTTATTATAATTTAAAAAAAAGTTTTTTTTTTCTCATCTATAAGGTAGTATAAGTGTTTTATAATATTTTTTGTTCATAAGAATAAGGTATACATGAAAATTATGCCACCTGTTACAAAAAATAAGAAAAGGTAGTGAAATTTTTTTTTTTTAGTGTTTATGACTACCCTAATTAAAGGATATAATTATATTTTATCCTACCTTAATTAAAGGATAAGAATATAATTGTATTGATTATTATATCCTAAATAAAGGTTATAATAATCCTAATTAAAAAAAATTATAATTCAAAATTTATTTATTATTTTTGCTTGTCTCAGATTAAGACACACATCTGAATAACAAAACAGAATTTTTTTTGATAAAAAGAAATTCATTTTGGAGTGCTATTGAGAAGCCCAATATCAAATATCATGTATTTCTAATTTTCTTATCAACTAATATTTCATAATGTAAATTTTAACCAGAAATATGTTTTGAAATATTTGTTTCTGACAAGAGTATGAGATTAATAATCTTTGCTCATTGAATAATTTTATCATTATTATAAACTGGTTGCTTAGTTTTCAAAGTGTTTGTTGTATATTTTTTCTTTGCCTAATTAAGTAAAATGGTCTGGTGTTAAGATCCTTCCTGCTCCCTTCCTTAAAAATTTTCTTAACTCGAATTATGTTAGACCATATAATTTTTTCAACACATCTTTTTGCACATTATAATGTAATATCAGTTTTTTATATACAAATACATTATTCTATTGCACATTATGCAGTAAATCTATTGTTTTTTTGGTCTACAAAAAAAAGGTTCTTGAAATCTTTTAGATAATTAATATTATTCATTTATTTATTGTTGAATCAAAAGTCTTATTTAATGTTGTTAATTGTTTTTGTCATCATTTCCCCTAACTGTGAAATGTGAAATCACACACTCACTGTTCTTTCTCTGAGAAAAGAGACTCTTGGTTTAATTACTTATGCTGGCTTTTAACGTTTCAAACTTTTAACGTTTAACGTTTCAAAAAATATTTTTATCAAATAACTTGTAACCTAATTTTCTTTACATTTTATTATAAGTTTTCTGGAGTAAATGTTGTTAAATTGCTGTAAATCTGGTATATTGAAAAGTTGAAGCTTTTAAATTAATTTTGTAGGCACTATATATGCTGAATACTATAAATTTACTAAATACTTAAAAATGTTTTGAAATAATCTGCATTTCTCATAATTAGGACTGGGCGATATTAGAAATTATATATCGTGATATATCGTCAGTTTTGCATCGCGATATAGCGATGTATCGCGATATAGTATTTTTGAATTTCATTTACTTTAAGGCACAGAAAGTCAGATTTCTATCAAGACTTCATACGCATATTGATTTAAATCAATTTATAAATTTGAAAATATATATGTTTTGCTAAAGAAAGATATTAAATAAATTGACTAAGATGTACAAATCTTACTTAAAATATTTATTGAAAAAATGTGTGTAGATACAGAATGAAATATTTGCACTTCTTTATCGTTTATAAGGTATAAGCAGTCTTAATTTAAGTTAACCCCTAAAACACCCTTAATGAAAAAAAATATTGTTATTAAACAAAAGCTGATTTTAAAATTTCAAAATATATTTTAATTAAAATAAAAGTTAGATTGACTAAAAGCCGAAGTTTAAAATTAAAAATGTTCGAATTTTAAACTAAAAAGTAAACATAAGATTTGTAATAATTTCTTAAAATTTTCGTTCTCTGAAAGATTTCTCAGTTTAAAAATAAAAAGGGAATTTTATAAAGATATCTAGCTGAAATTATTGAAAGAAAATTTAAAAAATTAAAAAAAAAGTTTGTTAAGAAATTCATTATACACTTAAAACAAAGTGTTAAAAATATTTTTTTTTTTTAAAAAAAAAAACTTTTTTTAACAAATCAATATTTGCTTGTACTATTATGCGTAAATAATTACAGAATTATTAAGTTCGATCGTAATGTTCAAATTCTTAATGAAGAAGTAAACACAAGTTTTGTTATATTTTCTAAAAATGATCACGCAAATAACAAAAGATTTCTTAGTTTAAAAATAAAAAAATAAATAAAAGTGAAATTTATCAATATATTTACCTAACAGCATAGGAACAAAATTTAAAAAATAAGTTCGTTAAAAAATTATTTGTATGCTTAAAACAAAGAGCTAAATAAATTTTAGAAAAAAAATGCTTCTTAAACACTATTTTTATTATTATTTCATATAAATAATTAAATTAAATTAAATAATGACCGAATTATGAACGAAAAACAAAGTAAGGCAAAGTTTCTTAATTAAATTCTTAAAAATAAAAACAAAAGAATTGTGATATTCGGTAATATATTTAGCTAATTAACTAATAATATAAAACGAAAATTAAAAAAAAATAATGATTTTACTCTCTAATAAAACGAAGTAGTAATTGATAAAAAAAAAAAAAAAAAGAAATGAATAAAATTCGCAAACTTTTCAAATTCTTTTGAACAAATAAAGTTTATTGACTTATGTCCAAAAAATAAGTTTTGTTTTAACTTTATTTCTAAAAATAAAAACAACTCAAGATTTATAAATTTAAAATCAGTAATAGAAGCCCATTAAATTATTAGAAGTTTTATCCGAAAGGTTTTTAATAAATTAAAAGAAAGTAAAAAAATAACCTAACAAATTTATTTACTTTGTAATTTAATTCCTTATGGGTGCCTTAAATTAGATTTCCGATAATTTTCACATTTAAAAATATAAAAAAAGTTTTGTCAGAAAATAAATAAAAAACTTACCTAATTAATGAAGAAACTTTTCTTTATAAATTCTTTTCAATAATAGATTGAGTTCAGAACAAGGTTACGACGGCGATCACGAAGTTAATCCCATTGAAAATAATCTACAAGAAACGATTTCAAATCGCGAAGTTGCGAAAACGAACATGTGATATAACGATATAAGTTCTCAAAAGTGATTCTGATTCTACCGCTCATCAGTCAAGGCCGCCTCAACTTAACGAAACAATATCGTCTTCCACAGCGTGAGTTGGCATCGGAACGTAAGAGAAAGTCCTTGCATGTATCGCTATATCGTTATATCGTCTTCTTCACTCGACGGCTTAAATCAGATTTCTGATGCATCGCTTGGAATGAAAGTCGCTGTATCGGTTTGCCGATATAGGCGTTAAATCGATATGTCGCGATATATCGATTTATAGCCCAGTCCTACTCATAATATATATTTCACATCTTAACTAGATTTAAAAATTCTTAATTTATTTAATCTCTCCAACTACCATAAATGCACTTTGATATTATTAACGTTAATAATGGTATACAGGGTTAAAAACTTGTGCTGAGAATAAAGCCTGGCTGATATATTTGGCTCTTTTGGCATAATTTTTTGTATATGTTTAATTTTCACTTTTAAATGAATTAAACATATTTAAATAATTTATGATATTTCTACTTTTAACTTAATCACATTAAGTGTAGTTATTAATTAGCTTTTCTCACATGATATAATGATAAAAAAAATAACTTTTTGTTGGAGAAAAATTGAATTGAATTCCTAAAATAACTTACTTGATTTGTTAATGACAATAATTGAAAAACAAAATATGATTTTACAAAATTAATTGTTTTATTTTTCTGTAATTTTCCTAATTTTTTAATTTTTCTCTCCCTCTCAGATTGTTTAGTTGATAATTTGGTTTTCAAAATTTGAACAGGGAAATATTTTTAAAGGTAGTTATTTTGCTTTAAGAAGAGTTTTTAAAAAAGTTCCACCTTAACTAGTCTCCGTTTTATGTTAGCTTTCAATTCTTGTTTCATAACAAACATATAAAATGAAAGTATTAATGCCTAATAATCTATAGCATATAATTTTATGAAGCATTTAAAACCTATGTCAATGGATGTAAAACTTTTACAAAGTATGAATGCTTTGAATATTGATTGCTATTGGAAAAGAAGAGAATAGAAAAAAGTGACAACGTTCTCTCATATCATCCTGTGATTTTTTCTAGGATTCATCTTCTAGATATATATCTTTTTGGGGCTGGAATTTATTTATTTCCAATTGAAAAATTTCTCAGCCCTATAATTTTAGTAGTTTTTTTTTGTGTGACTTAGCATTGTCAAGGGTTTCTACTTTATGAATTAATTGATGTTTTTTTTCCTTTAATGTTTAATGTTTGTTTAATTAGACATTCAAGTGCATTTTTGTTTCTAATTCTCCACTGTAAATTGCTTATTTGAACTGACCCAAATTTTTTTTTATAAACATATACAATAAAACATATAAAATACGTTATTTTCATCTTTATTCATAAAGATTTCACTACCATAAGTTACTATAGGCCTAATTACCTTTTTTATAAATTTTATATTTAAATTATTTAGTTATGAGTTTTTTCTTGAATTAGTATTGGTAACATATGTTTCATTTTTATTTATTTATTTTTCTTTTGAATTCTTAGATTAGACCATTGGAAACAGCACATCATATAATTGTGAATCAAACTGCCTCAGCACTTTGTAATCCTGAGTTATTTCCAGATTCCAAACTTGCTGAAGACTTCATGAAATTATTTTTGCATTATCATGAAGAATCAGGTTTGTATCTTGCTATTACCAATTAAAAGTTAAAGTAATTTGCGTATAATGTCATCAGGTTTTATTATGAAAATCAAAAGATACAATTGATATTGAAACTCACTTTTTTGTAAACTTTAATTTTCAATATGCCAATGAAGATGAAAAATAATTTGCGGTGAAAAGTTTCTCCTGTTGTATATCTTCCTCTTAATTGAGGGTATCTCACATTATCCCCCTCAATAATTTTAAGATTTTATTCTCACTTTTTCTTTTAGACTACAAAAGAGCAGGGTTCGTGATTTTTTTGATTTGAATCGGATTTTTTTGATTTAAATCAGATTTTTTTGATTTTTATTCAAATACACTGTAAGAACTTTGATTTATGATTTAAAAAGCTTTATAAATGCTGAATCAAAATTAAAGTAAGATTAAAAATAAGTTATAACAATATTTTAGAAGCTCTAACTACCTAAAACAATTTTTCATTACCTATAATACATGGCTTTTAATGCATAACAATCATTTTGAAACAAATGCATGATTGAAATTTTAAGACTAGATGAAATAGAGAGTTTAAAGAATACTTTAACTATTAAAACAAAGTTTCAATTAGCAAACTATAATTTTAATTCAAAATTGTGATTTTTTTTTACTTGTCTTGATTTTTAAAATGACAAAATTAATGTAACAGAATTCCTCAAAAAATAAATATTTAATCTATGTATTTTAATATTAAAATATTGATTTTTAATCCTATATCAAAGAAGATAAGTTAAGCTAAAAAATATCTATGTACTCAGAATTTTTTTTCACAAAATTTCTTTAAAGAAAATCTGATAATGTCAAAGAAAATGTAAACATATTATGAGAAAAAATACTGATTGATGAAAACAGACAGCACAATTCTAATTCTGGGTTATTTAATTTAATGACATAGACATTTTCATTCTGTGATTTGAAATTAATAAACACAATATGAAGGATAGCATTAATACAATAGTTTGTTATTTATTGCTAAACTGTTTAAAAAGAAACACAAGTTTTCCAGCTTTCTCATTTCCTAAGCGATTGCGCAGTTTAGATTGTACTAAACCAAATGTCGAAAAAACTCTTTCAACAGATGCAGAAGAAGCTTGTGCTGTAAATAACTGTGAAATCATATCTAACACAGCATTTTTTACCTCCACATTCCCGGCAATTTGAGATTTCCACCAATCTATAGGACTTACTTGATTGACAATATTAGGGTTAAAAAGGAACTCGTGAAAGGGCTCTGACTTAGCTTGATATTTAAAAATAACAGGCATTATTGATTGTGGGTATTCTTCATTTATGAAAATTAAACTTTCTGTTTTTTCAACAGGGGTCAAGTTAATTCCAGCGTAACGGGGGTCTAACAAATTTGCTAGAAAATGTGGTGGACCTAACGCCTGACTATAGCGATTTGAAAATTTTGCTAAACACGCTTTATCAAGATTCTCATCTTTTAGATCTTTTTCCAATTTTTTCCAAATATCAACAGCTTTCGAAATGGTGCAATCTTTCTGTTGCATTTTATCCAAAGCTGTAGAAATGGGTTTTAAACGCCTTAAAAGTTCTTCAGCACTTCGCTTGATTCCAAAGTTAGTGACTTTTTTATAAACATTATCATCAATATCTTTGCGATTTTCATCGCAAACTTTAACAATGATTGACCAGTTCCTCAAATAAGCAGAAATACAGTCAGCCATTGTATTCCAACGAACTTCTAGTGGTATCACTAATTTCAATCCCCCAGCTTCTCTATATTTAGCATTTGCCAAATGATTATTCCGAAAATATTTCACTATATGTAATATTTGTCCTTTTATATTTGGAATATTTATATCTTCTGCAAAAAGATTTAGCAAATGGGCGGAGCAGCCATATGTGATTAGGTTTAAATTAGGATCACTTTGAATGTTGGTCCGCATACCCTTCACATTGGAAGCATTATCAGTGACACTGCTCCGAACGACACATTTAAATTCATTTTCACATTTTATTATAGTACTTTTAGTAACTTCTGCTAAGTACTCTGATGTGTGCGAACTGCCGGATGTATCAATAGAATCCACTAAATAATTTTCACCTTTTTCAGTGGTTACAACAGCACAGAGTATTGGTTCATTGTGGACATTTGACCATCCATCTATGCTTAAGTTCACAATTTGTTCATTTAGATATTCATAACATTTGGCTTTCTCTTGGTTATATATAGAATCTAGTAATGCACCACCTATTTCTACTTCATTAGGAGCAGTATAACCTGGTCTCAAAGCAGAAATCATTTTTTTTAAACTGAGGGTGTTGAACATGATGAAAAGCAGAGTTGGTTGCATAAATATACTTAGCTACTTCTTCATCCAGGCTTTGTTTTTGTGTTTTAGTGGTTTTTATCACATAAGCAGTCATGCTGGTCTGAACGTTATTAATATTTTCCATCTCAGTTGCTTTCCTCTTCTTAGTTTTTGTTGTCTCTAGCACCTCTGTATCTTTGCTAATAGCTTTTTCTGAGATGGGTGGAATTTCAAGTTGTTCATTTTTATCCATCTCTTCCTTATTACAGGGCAAACATATTTCCACATGCTTTTTTAACCTTGCTACTAAACCCATTATAACTTTTCCACAATTCTTGCATTTAGCTTTTACTCCTTTTCCTGAAAATGTAGGCTCTTCATCAAAATAAATCCAAATGTCATTCTTTTTCCTTCCTGCCATTTTTCTACTAAGTTACTCAAGGACTGCAGACTTCCTATTTTTCCTACTTTTATTATTATTTCAGCACCCCTCTTTTTCTCCTATATTTTATATTTTTTAAAAAATCATGTCATTTCTGCTATTTCTTTAATGCACAGTGATAGCCAAGGAAACAGAATAATGACTCAGGGTAAAGTATTGCAACTGCACCTGTTTTTCAATTCCTTTGTTCTGAATGGGGTGTGAGAAGGGGGGAGAACATGGCAGAACATGAATTCTTTTTACTTTGCAGCTTCTGTCTGTCTATTCTTGTTTGAGAAAAAAAAATTGATTATGACTGGTCAGCTAGAATTTCAATTAGATATTATTAAAAAAAAAGAAGCTGAAATGGGGAAAGTTTAAAAGATAGTTTGCTCTAGAAATCATGTTCTTTATTTCATTTTTTTAAAGAAACAAACTATGTTGTACATTTAAATAAAAATTTGACAGAATTAAAGATCAACTAAATAAAAATCTTTATATTGTACATTTATTAATTAAAAAAAAATTGATTTTGTTACAATTTCAGATTTTTTGAAAAATAATTAATTAATAAATGTGCTTATTCCATTTTAAATGTATGTAGTGTGTTGTAACTTATATATCTGTTATTAAAAGTAGTTTGCATTTTCCACCAATAAAATATAGTGTAGATTTTAATTCCATGCTTTTTCAATTAAAAGAGTAGAAATTTAATTAACATAATTTGCATTTTTTTATGAAAAAAAGTTCATGTTTATTAATTACTCTCTATAACTATGCAAGCCTATATTAAGACTGCATTAAATGTTTACTTTAATCTGAAAGATTTTTAAAAATGTAATTTCAAATGTGTTGGAATTTAACACACACCAAGAAAGTAATTTCAATAACTAAAATTAATTAATGCTGCAATTTATTTAAAATGAATTTTAAAACTAAGAAAAGAAAATAATAAATGTATCAATAATTAATCACTGTTTTTTAACTTTTTAAATCAATATATATAAAAAAAAATCAGTTGATTTAAATCAATGATTTTTTTAAAAAAATCATTTGATTTAAATCATGATTTAAATCGTGATTTAAATCAACGAATCCTGCAAAAGAGATATTCTATATTTTTTTAAAAATTAAATGGTTTTAGATAGGATATAATGTAGCAAAATTATATTTATAAAAACTTCTAAAATTTCTCTGAAACAAAAAAAAAAGTGAAAATTTTATTTTTTGTGCAAGTGGTATTTTTAAAAACCTTTAACGGATTTATTTATTATTTAGTTTCAGTTTGAACGCAACTATTTTAATGAAACAATTGGGTACAGTTAAATCTTTATGCTACAACTTTGAAGGGAACATTTTAGTTAAATACTTTTTAACAGTAAAGAAAATAAATGTAGTGATATTTAAAAAATGTTAAACATGTATTTACTTTAATTTAAAAAAAAAAAAAAAACTTGTTTCAAACAATCCTGATATTTTTGCTTCTTCATTTGATTTTACATTTTGCTAAAGTATTTTTATTTCATCTTTCATTTTTGGCAAATTTCCTCTATATTGGTAGGATGTTCTGATACAGGGGACTGACAAAAGCTGGAAAATAGTTAAGCAATTGAGCATTACATAAAATTTTGAAAAATTGACCTTGTGATGATGCTTGATTCATGAATCTAGTTTATGATGATTAGTAATTTGAGAATGTAAATTTTTTGATGTGAATTAAGTTGCAATTCTTTGGTTTACCAAACTTTTACTAGGCTTTATAATATAGTTAAAATGCCATTTGTTTATTTTTCTCTGTTTATGAGTAGTGCAAATAAATAATGTATTTTCTTAGGTCACTGTGAAATTTTGTCTCAGTTTTTGATTGATGTATCTACATCCATTATTGAACTTGGGAATGACCTAGTGTCAACATTGAAATCATCTTTTGTTTACTTACAAACTAAGTTTTTACATACTACATTATCGGACAGAAACTTATTCAGATATATCGATGTTTTGAATTATTTCACTGGGTCAGAAAATTTGATCAAAGTAAGTTTTCTTAAACTTATTCTCAGATAATCTAAACAAAATGAATAAAATTTATATGTGTGTTTAATTAGTGCGTTTATAATGAATGATGATAAATTAAATGTAGAAGGTTGAGATATGTTATTCTATTACATTATAAAGCTGTGTGGAGAAGGTCTTAAGTGACTTTTTAAGCTTTAAAGTTTATCAGCTTTGAGCTTTAAAGTTTACAATCTGAATGCTTCTAATTGGTAAAATCTGTATATCCTTGTTACTCGTTTGACTATTAATGTCATTGTATTTATTTTATAATAACTGTGATCCGATTTCTTTGAACTTATTATTAAAACTTTATATAAAATTTTATTGAAAAATTGAAAATTATAAAATAAACAATCAATCTTAGACCAAATAATGTTACTTGTTGCCAGACAGGGACATCTTAGAATTGAAACTAATAAAAAATAAAATGATAAATTCTGATATTATATGTATCTTATGGCATTTTTATTTGCTTTAAAAAAAAGGTTTTCTTATGTTAATATTCATTAACTGTTTGTTGTCAAATGTGTTCGGTGCTGTCTTGCTATCTGAAAACACTCTAAAGAATCCCACTGAGATTGTCAAAAAATAAAAACTTGACCAAAAAAAAAAAAAAAAAAATCTATATTGCAAAGTAAAAAAAACTAAAATAAGAGCTTTAACCATACATTTCTATTTTTTTACAAAATATGTCACTAAGGACCTTTATCCACAAGTTCTTCAATTTGAAAGGAATTTTTAAGTTCTTAATTTTTATTTTCCGTTGAGAAATCAAAATTTGATTTTAAGCTTATAGATTGTTTATTAATTAAAATTGGAAATAAAGTCAAAATTATTTTAATGCAATTGTTTTTTAAAAGAAATTTGTTTAGTTAAGGATTTACATTACTACTTTATAAAGTAATGATTTAGTTTAAAAATGGCATACCAATAAGATGACCTCAAACTTGATATTTTGTAATAATTTTTATTTTATTTTTTACTTACATGTGCTTCCATATTTTCTGCAGGGAATTATTAAGTATAGCATGCCAAAAGAAATAAAAAATGGCAAAGCTTATCAGAACAGTTTATTGGGACTTCCTTTGGGTGTCTCATGCCTTCCAAAAACAGAAATTGATCGTTATGAATTCTTTCAAGATCCGTCAAGGTATTCTTCACAAGATCATGCTATCATGGAAGAAAGATTATCATTGGTAACTATTTGTTTCATTGCTTTAAATGTTTTAGCTTTATTAGTTGTGAAACGACCACCATTTAAACCGGAGTAGTTAAATATGTTTAAATATTTTTATTTAAATCCATTAATATTTAAGTGTTTTAAAAATATTTTATTTAAATTCATGTGATAAAATATTTTTTTAATTAAGATAAATATGTATATTTCCTGAAGTATTTCAGTTTCTGTTGGTTTGTGAATAAATATTGTATTGAGGAACTAGTAAATTTTTTTAAAATATATTTTTTTATTTTCTAATTTGTTGAATTATCATACTCAATTTAATAAAGATTTTTTCCCTTATAGCCCTTAACAAATCTTGCAAAAAAAATGCATCAATTCTTTGATAAAATACTGAGGAAATCAGCTGAAACTCGGGAGATGTTGCTGCAATGGCTTGGAAGTTGCTTAGATGCTAATAATGGTAAGAAATTAATCATAATTTCTCTGTTTATTATTGTTATTTTTAATATGCTGATCACTTTATCATGATATTGTGGTAGTCTGTGGAAATAAATAAAATTTGAATTCTGCTTCTCCTGCTAGAAGGAAATAAATTTTTTCTAGTTATTAAAATATGATAAAATTAAATGATTTTGATTAGTAAACATATGAACTTCCTAATGATAATTTTAATTGTTCATGTTTATAAACTGCTATATTTAAATAGGGGGAAGGTACTTTCCCAACTTATACATGTTTTGTTTTTTAATTTTTGTCCTAGCTATAAAAAAACTATTAGCTTGTAATAAATGTTTTGCAACTTTTTTTTTGGCTGATTCAATCTCTATATTGTAAGCATTGAAGATATTGAATTAATATTACATTTATTCCCCAATTTTGCAAAAATATTTGAGTGTTTTCAAATTTTTATTTATTAATGTTATGTTCAAAGAAATAAATCTGGTTAGTATTAATAATTACCAGCAGTTATTAGCAATCACTATCAATTTAATTATTAATAATTACCAGTGAAATATTCATAATATAGTGATGAATTCTCACAAATTATTCAGTTATTCCCCAACTTTTTTGGTTATTATTAATAGTATTATAAATAACTTAAACATACTTCTGCCTCTGTATGACCCAAGTAACATTTAAGAAAAAAATGTATGAAGTCTGGGTCTATGCATAAAAATTCTTTTATCTTAAAACAGACATTAGTGTAGGAAATACTGAACTAGTGTATAACTGGTAATAATTCTTAACCTTAATAATTATAATAAAAAAATATGTGTAAATACTGAGCAAAAGCCCTTAACATTGAAAAATATCTGGGAAAAACAAGGGGAACAAAATTAATTGATATTGATGTTTGCCCCATAGACCAGCGGTTTTTAAAATGTGTTCTGATGAACCCTAGGGTTCCAATAAGGAGTGACAGGGCTTTGGAGAGTTAGTAGAGATGCAAGAGTAAGCCAGTTATGCTTTTTAAAATCTTTAATTATATTTATATCCAACCAATAGTATTATGACATCCAAGATTGTCGCAGAATATCATTGTATCTGTTTGTCAACAAAACAAATAAGAAAAACGAAGTTTCTATAGCAATAAATTTATTTTAAAAACATATTATGCCGATAGACATACTCTCACAAACAGAGTGACAAATGAGTAACGAAAAGAAAGAATAAATACAAAATAATCGGCTTCAACATTAGCTTAAATATTCTTTAAACAGATAACGGATGAAGTCATGATCCACACGACAATGACCAACCGCAAATGAAAAGAAACTCGCCGATCCCCGCAGACCATGACGTTACTGACGTAAGTTTAATGCATGAGTCTGTCATCTTAAAGGACTGATGAAAATCGAACCTATAACCTTTTGTTATTTAATCAAGATAAAAAGCAACCCTTTTAGCGTTTATTTATCCAACATATTTCCCATCCAACTTTACAATTCAAATTTTCCTGATTACCAGTCTTGACATTTTGCTTAGTTCTCTTACATTTTCATTTCTACAAAAACCATAGTTTAGCTTCATTTTCTACATTTGCATATACTAAAAACTAATTCAGAATTTGACAAGATGCTGCTACAGCCCTTCAAATACAACTGTTTGATATGAAATCTAATTTTAAAATTAATATTGATAAAATGATAAAATTTCATTTTTCTCATTAAATATTATCAAAATAATTAATAATTCTTTGGTTAATATAATCACAGTTTGGTTAATATAATCACTTTTAGTTTCACTACCAAAAAAAGAAAAAAAAATAATACAATAATAATAAATTGTAATTGCTACTATAGTTAACATTTAAATTTCATTTATTTACCAAACTTCATTTTTAATTATCAGAAATAACCAGTCTATATTCTTATAAATAGATAACTTATCAGTGTATTGGTTATTAATAGCAATTAAAGCTTATTATTGATAGTAAAAAGGACATATTTCATATATAGAACACATATATTATCATATATTAGAAATTTACCCTCGCCACTTCACTATTGGTGGCCTAATATTAGTTTTAGTAATAATTCTATTTAGAAAAAGTGAGACTGTTTTGTTTCCGAAACTGAGAGTCAGAGCTTGAAACAAGGTCTGCAATTGACAATTAGTATTTCAGTGCTCAACGGCAACAGTATTATAAACAAAAAAAGTTGAAAAAAAGGGGGAACATTTCTGATATATTATTTTTCATTTTAATGGCTTTTAATCATAATTCGTTATTAGAACCATGGAAACATAATGGTAACGTTATTTTAAGTTAAAATTATTATTACTTTATAATAAGTATGCTTCAGTTTTTCCTACATTCTTTTATGGATGCAGTCACTATAATGCTCTTTATATCACATCTGTTAAAATTTAAAAACTATGCATATTTTTTGTGAAATTGTTGGCAAGCAAACATTTTAGTCTAACTACATCAATTTCTTAGTAGTTTGAATAAGTCCAAACTCTTTGTAAATTTTGTGAATAACAAAGCATTTACTTCGTTGTAGTAGATTGAGAAACTATGAATATTACAAATTTTATTTTGTTTTTATTCTTATTAATTAAAACAAAGAAATTAATATTGTATTAAATACACACTTTGTCTAAAACAGTAAGTATTTGAAAAAAAAAAGTTACTTTTTTTAAAAATATTTATTTTACTAAGAACTTCATTATTCTAACTTCTATTTTCATAGGACGTGCCAAAATATGGAATAGTCAACTACCTGAAGTATATGCTTCTCTTCATGCATCTGATGGTTTCATGATTAATCTAACAGCTGTGCTGCTACAATTATGTAAACCATTTACTGAGCCATGTCATCCAAAATTATTCAAAATAAGTCCTTCCTATTGTTCTGCACCAGTATCAACTGATTCCAATAAAAATGGTGTTCACATTAAAAGTGAGTTTTATTTTGGGAGATGCTTATTTATTATCTTTTGCAGAGTATTTTAAACATATTCCGAAATTCACCAATGAGTTATTTTAGTTTTTCAAATTAGATATGAAAGATGGATGTACAACAAACAATCAAAACAAAATGGATGTAAATCAAAGACGAGATAGTAAAAGTCTACTGTGCAGAATCCTTTATAAGTGAATTAAGTAAAAGGAAATTGTAAAAACTAAAATATACAGAAGAAATAATAAAAATTTTTATTGCATGCCTCTTAACATGAAATTTGCAGTAAATTAATTAAGCAAATATTTTGAATTTTATTTTTATTTTTTTTTTTAAATAGTAGAAGTTATGAAATTACATTATTGTAGATGATTATATCTTGGAAATTACCAGAGACTTATTTGAAATTTTGTATTTTAACGATAAAAATTATGTTGATATGCATATTAGAAAAAAAAAGCAATTATTATTATTGCAGTTTTGTACACTTTATTTACTGATTTTTAAATTTTATTTTGTTGCCCTTTATAGCAGTTGCCTTTTGTATTTCCATAATATAACTTGCCATTCCATGGGAAAATGTGTTTGTTTTATCCTTATGAAGTTTATTTTATTAGTGCTGTAACAACTTGTACATAAACAGCTTTATGATGATACAGCAATATTCTTGAGAATTAAAAAAAAAAAAGAAATTTAAGTAAAAATTTTACTTTAATTATCAGTTTAACTACTACAATTTTAGATAACTAATATCTTCAGCAAGTAGCATATAAATTCCCTTTTGAAACTTGGGCATTTTGAAAGATTTTTCTTGTTATAAAACGATCAGGAAAGTAAGAAATCATTACAATAAACATTTTCCCACTTATGTAATTGAGTATTCATTAACAGATAATTTTATGCCAAATTCATGTATGAATACTTTTAAAATATTTGCATTCTCTTAAAGCATTAACTCTGTTTTTTCACCTTAAGGCATCTCATCTGAAACCTGCCTCTTACCCAGAGATGAACCTATGACTGTAGAAGATGTGAAATACAATTTTATATCTGAAATATTTTTTGCCACCCACTATGCTTTTTGGATTGGATTTCATGTTGTGTATGATAGAATTCTGAAATTAAATCAGGAATTAGTGAGAACTCAAAGACTTTATGAAGAAGCCCGATCACAAGGAGGAGAATCTTCTGAAATAGTTCAAAGAATCAAAGAAAATATGGAAAAGGGTAAATATTTTTACTTTTGTTATATTAAGGATTTTATTTAGTTGCCATTCGTATTGAAATATCAGGGTTCCCACGGTCCTTGAGAGTCCTTGAAAGTCCTTGAATTTTTTTTGCTAAATTTAGGTCCTTGAAAGTGCTTGAAAAACGTCTTAGGTCCTTGAGAAACTTGATAGGTCCTTGAATTTGTCCAATACTGCCGGCGGCCCTTTTTATAAAACACCCGCGGATCTTTATCGTTCTTTCTGTTTTGTTCCCGAGCTCTATCACGTGGTTTTTAACGCCACCGTTTCTAATCGGGCCTAGCGTCTTGGTGTCTGCCAAGCGCGCGGAGCACAGCAGACAATCAATGCGTTCGGGGCGAGACTCCACTTCATCTTCTGTCGCATATGCTTAGATCTTTTTTCTTATCAAAACTGGAATACTCTCGAATTTCGTAACAATATGTACCTTGTAGTTTTCAATAAATTTCCCGTTTTACCATCCGCACTTGTCCTTACGTTTGCGTCATTTCAAAACTTTATTGTAAAGCGTATTCGCAAAGGCCTGGCTTCGCATTTGTGTGATGTAGTTTAGACTAGTTATGCCTGGGAAGTGCTATTTTAATCCCCAATGGATGGATAATCAAGCTTATAAAGAATGGATTTTATCGATGCCCGGAAAAAAGTTCAGAGCCAAGTGCCGATTATGCATGAAGGAGATCGATATCGCGAAAATGGAAGAATCTGCTCTGAAATCACGCATCAAAGAAAGGTGAAACAAAAAGGCAGTCTCATGCCCTGAGTTCTCTTTTTCCAAAGACATCAACATCTAATTCATCTGGTGTAAATACTCCTTCAACATCGTGTGCTTCATCGTAATAACTTTTAT